TTTAAGTTTTGTTTTACGTTTTTCTTCCTTTTTGTCTACGACTCCAATTGTGGTCCTTTTCAGAGGGGTCCCCAGTGGTAGCCGGGAACCATTTAGTTCTGGATTTTCGGTCTCAACGTCCTCATTTTAAAATGTTTGCTCTCATCTAACATGTGTTTGTTTTGCTTATTCTTCTTTGAATAGATCTTCCTGAACTTTATCTTTTTAAAACAATTTCTATTATTAAGATTTTCATTTCCAAGAATTTCTTCTTGTTCCTGGAATTTCCGTTTCGATAACCTCTTGCTCTTTCGTCCCGGATCCAAGATCTTCCCTGAGTTCATCTTCATCATAAGTTCCTGTTGTTTCCTTCTACTTTCTGGATTGTCTCTGGATTTTGAAGGGGTGGGAAGTGTCTGTGGTTCTTACCCTGGAGGCTTTGCTCTGGCGATAACCAGACTGCTGTTGTGAGCTGCTGACTCACGGCAACCCTGTGGAGCACAGGCTGGAACACTGCCTGGGCCTGTGTCACCCGCACAATGGTTGCGCAGCTCAGGGCACTGTGTCCACCTCTCTCACTGCAGGGCTCCCTCTTTTTACGGACCCTCTACTTTACCAAGCAACGTGTCCGTGTCCAGAGATTGGGCCTCCTGATGACATGTCCGGTTTGTGTGATGAAGTCTCCCCGTACTTGCTTCTAAGGAGCGTCTTGACTATTCTTCTTCCAAGACTTGAGTTTTCCATTCCTGGTGCGCCTTGTCATCTCCAGTCTCCTTCAAGCATCCCCATAACTAAAAGACGACACCTTCTCGTCATGGCTTGGTTCTCAAATGGACATCTTTGCACTTTAACACTTTAAAGAGGTCTCTGCGCAGAAACTGCTCAAGGCAGTACATTTTTTGATTCCTGCCTGCTGCATTGTGGGCCTGGACTGTGGAGCCAAGTGAAAGGAGGAGATCCCTGACAACTTCAATGTTTGCTTCGTTGGTCACGATGCTGCTTATGGCTCCAGGGGTGAGCGTGTTGATGTTCTCGACCTGTTGAAATGGAGTCCATCCTGAATGCTGTGGTCTCTGGCCTTCATCAGACGGGGCTTCCAGTGCTCCTGACTTGCAGCAAGCACGTTTACATCTGCATTTTGAGGCCCGTTGAAGAGTCTTCCTCCAATCCTGACGTTGCAGCTTCTTCAGTTTCCTCACATGCCACTTTCTCAGACTCTGTGCTCAGCATCTCACTGCCTTTGAGTCAGTTCTGACTCAGAGTCACCTCGTAGGACAGGGCAGAACTGTGGGTTCCAAGATGGAAGAAAGCCTCATCTTTCTCCTGAGGAACAGCTGTTGGTTTCGAATTGCTGACCTTGCCTGCCGTGCGACCCACTGCACCACCCCAGACATTTGCAAAGGCATTCGACTGTGTCGCTCATAACAAACTATGGATAGCCTTGAGAAGAATGGGAATTCCAATTCTAGAACACTTCATTGTGCTCATGCAGAACTTGTACACGGACCAAGAGGCGATTATGTGAACACAACTAGGGAATACTGCATGGTTTAAATTTTTTTTAAAAGGTGTGTGTCAGGGTTGCATCCTTTCGCCATACTTATTAAATCTGTATGCTGAGCAAATAATCAGAGAAGCTGGTTTATGTGAAGCAGAATGTGGTTTGGGGTTTGGAGGAAAGTTTATTAACAACCTGTGAGATGACACAAACCTTGCTTGATGAAAGTGAGGGGGACTTGAAGCACCTGCTGATAAAGATCAAAGACTACAGCCTTCGCTATGGAATGCAACTCAAGGTCAAGAAAAGCACAATGTCAAGAAACCTCACAACTGGACCAAGAGGCCATACCATGATCAATGGAGAAAAGATCAAAGTTGTTCAGGATTTTGTTTTGATTGGATCCACAATCAATGCTCATGGAAGCCATGGTCAAGAGATCAAAAGATGAGTTGCATTATGTAAATCTGCTGCACAAGACCTCTTTAAAGTGTTTACAAGGAAACAGGTTACTTTGAAGGATGAGGTGCTCCTGACCCAAGCCATGGTATTCTCCACTGCCTCAACTGCCTGTGACAGTTGGACGCTGAATAAGGAAGATTGAAGAGGAAGGGAAACATTTGAATGAGGGTGCTGGCGAGAAGAGTATTGAAAGTATCATGGACTGCCGAAAGAACAGGCAAATCTGTCTCGGAAGAAGTACAGCTAGAAGGCTCTTTGGAAGCAAGACTTTACTTCATGAGTTCTGACCAGGTTGTCAAGGGAAATCAGTCCCTGAAGAAGGATGTCATGTTTGACAAGGTAGAGGGGCAGCGAAAAAGGGGAAGGCCCTTAACACGGTGGATTGAACTGGATGCAACAATGGGCTCAAACGTAAGAATCGTTGTGAGGCTGGCGCAGGACCAGCACTGTTTTGTTCTGTTCTGTTCTTTGTGGGCTCATTATGAGTTGCTGTCATTATTACAGCACCTAACAATGGCATTGGCTCAGCATATGGATTGAAGACGCGTAGGGAAAACATGGAACTCTGACACACTTCCTAATTTTAAACCACGGAGTAACTTCTTGTCCTGCTTTGATAACTGCCTTTTGATCTAAGTACAGGTTTCCCGTGTGCATAAATAAGTGTTCTGGAAGTCTCGGTCTTTGTAATGTTTCTATAATTTCCTGATTCACACAGTCAATAAAACACAAATAAGCATCTTTCTGGTATCATCTGCTTTCTGGCAAGATCCAAGTGGCGTTAGCAATGATTTGCTTCATTCTACATCGTCTTCAGACCCAGCTTGAATCTAGGCACTTAGGAAACTTTGATGACACAACACAACACATGGACCGTGTTTGGATCCTGATTTGAAGAAATCACCTGTAAAAAGACTCACTTTGGTGGTTACCAGGGTTGGCAGGGGAAGGGAAGGAGGGGAGTCAGAGGCTAGAAGGTGGGCAGGTGTTAACTTGGGTGACGGGAAAGACAATCAATACACAGCAAGATAGAGACTGCCAAGCACCAAAAAGATGGCGGCAGGGCTAGCTATTGGGAGAGCTGCAAGAGTTCAAGGGAACAGAGCAAATATTTCATCATCCACACCATCCTGCCACCGTGGTGAACGGCGAGTAGAAGTGTGGGACTTGTTGGTCACACGGCCGGTGCAGGATGAGTTGGCAGTGTTCCAACCATCCAGGAGGGTCCTCCAGAGAGGGGCTTTCAAAAATGGCTCACACCATTTGTTCTGTGTCCGAATCCTGTTCTGGTCAAGGCCAGGAGCTCCTTTCTGTGACTCATTGTTTTTAGGTGACTGCCCCTTGGCTTGGGGGAGCCTCTGGGTGGCATAAACGGTGAATGTGCTTGGCTGCTACCTAAAAAAAAAGAAAGAAAATGGGGTTCCGAGTTTGCCAAGGGGTGCCTTAAAAGGAAGGCCTGGAAGAAAAAAACAAAAGGGCAGCATTTGCCCAAAGACCAAGTTCAACAACAACAACAACAACAACAAAAAGACCAAGTTCAGAGGGTTAGGAAAGGAGGGGGAATGAAAACAGGACTCAGGGACGCGGGTCAAATCGTGTTGCACGGAGGGGATTGTAACAACATGTGCACCAATTGTTGAACGTAAGACTGATGACCTGCTCTGTACACCTTCTCCTAACTCACAATGCAAACGTCACGGGAGAAGCTATGTTTGATACCATCTAAAATATCTACAAGTGATGATGGATTGGCTATGAAATTATATCAAGAAATGATTAATTTGGATAGGTGTGACAAGGGTATGGTATTAAAGGGTGTGCATTTAAGTACCAGAAATGCATTCTGGTGTCTTTATAATTCAGATTCTATAATACCTGGGATTTGCTTTAAAATATTCCAGGAAAAAAGTGGTTGGTGGGTTAGATGCAATGAAAGGGAGCAACAGGTCAGTAACGAGGTAAGCTGCATGGTGAGTACAAGCGGTTTCATAACACGTTCGTGTGTATTTGACATTTTCATAGTGAAATGAAAATGAAAAAAAGAAAGAAAGAAATTATATATATAGGTATATTTGTATACGTATGTACAAGGGAGCTTCTAAAATTTTGTGGGAAAATGGGATTAAAAGACCAAGTTGATTTTAAAAGACCAAGGCACTGAAAATCTGAGTGGAGTTTTTATTTTTTTATTTTTATTTATTTTTGTTAAATCGCTTTATTAGGGGCTCATACTACTCTTATCACAATCCATACACACATCAATGAGTGGCGTTTTTAGAGCATGGCTGGCTGGCTTTATTGGCAGGTAAGATGCGAGGACAGGCCCCTGCTGCATCCTGGGGAAACTTCAAAATATCAGTACTGGTAGGATATTTTGGGTTTTTTTCTTCCTTTTCTTTTCAGCCATCTAGTTTCTCCAGAAAAGATCCCCTCTCCTCTGGGGAGAAGCAGTGTGTCTGTTGCGTGAGCCCAGAGCAGGAGGGGGCTTCCCTGTTCACTGGGGAGCTTGGACGTGGTGCTGTTCTCAGTGGTGCCTCGTCACCTGTCCCCTCTCACCTGGCTTCCCAAGGCTTGCTAGCCGTGGACCCCGGAGGCCTCGGGTCGGAGAACCCAAAAGCTAACCTTCAGACTTCTGAGCAGGGAGGGAACGACTCCTGACTGTACAGCGAAGGCAGCAGTGTCCCAGGGCTCCAGGCCACCCATCCCACGTGTGGAAGGCCGTCCGTCCGTTGTGAGCTTGTCGTTGGCACTCCCTTTACCAGTCGGGACTTGTTCTCACCATGTCGGTGACGACTCAGCCAGCCGCTTTCTTTCATGAAAAATGTATTGAAATCTCCATTTTCGTTATTCTCCTTTTAGGCTTTGCTTCCCCCTCCCCTTCCATTCTGTGACTATACTTGTAGTGGGATTTGGGAGATGATGGGGATAAGGATTTGTTTTCAATAAACAAAATTATGGTGTGTGTTTTTTCCAGGCTTGAATTTTTTTTATTTTATGTACAAATAGTTGGCATGGTTTCTTCTTTTGGGTAGCGGTCTTGGATTGTCCATCCAAAGGTAACTTAGTCCAGCTTGATGAAGCCGATGTCCTCCGCGTACTGACGGAAACACTGACAGCACATATTGAGGCCGTATTTCCGGCTCAGACCGTGCCGGTTTGAGCACACGCCGCAAGAACGGGAGCCCTGGCCGAATTTTCGCGGGTGGCTCCAGTAGAGCTGCTGGTGACCCATCTTGTTTCCAGGCTCTCTCCGAGGCAAAAGGCAAAATTATGTTTCTTGAATGGGAAGTTCAGAGTCTTTAAAGCCAAGCATGGGTTAATGCAAGTAGTTTCGGATTTATAACCTATCTGAGCCATGATTAACGACAATTTCTTCTTGTGCTTTTGGACGTCGTATTGTTAGTCGTACCACTATATACAGTATTGCTGTGTTCAATTTGCTAATGTTGCCGTTCTCAGATGTTCGCACACAGATGTCCAATTGTATGACTTCCTATTCAAGCTACCGTTGTTTATTTAGCAAGCTCTGTCTGGCCTGCTCTGCACTGAGGGCAGGGGTGGTGTGGGGAGTTGCATAATCTCCCACTGTAATGACAGAAAACTGTCACTATGGCTCTGACTGACACTGGTGCCAACTTTGTTGTAGATGGGCTAGACCTAGACATGATTTTATTCAGCAGTTCATATTATTAGGTATATCGGTTGTTAATTTGAAGCCAAGTTATTCTAGTTTATGTAACTGGGACGCCTGCCCTGCTTTTACCTCCAGCGATATGCCTCGCTCAAGAAGTCACGCCACCAACAGTCTCGTCCAAAAGAGAAGGCACGGAAGGCTCTGGACAGAGCGATAACGGCGAGGATCGTGAAGGCCTGTGACATTGGAAAGGAAGTCCGGGAAAAGGTGCACGAGGAAGGACTGCCTTGTTGAACGTGCACGAGGAAGGACTGCCTTGTTGAACTGTTTGAACATCATGAACGATGAGCATGGGATTTTGGAGACAGTGAGAGCAGGGATTGCTATAAAATGGACAGTTGTAACAAAGCAGCCGCAAAGGGCTGATTTCAAAAGAAGACACATCCAGACAAGGAATCCAGACGCGGACTGAGAAGTCAAATGAAGGCATGCAGTCTTCCTGGAAATTTGAAGAAACAGCCAAGAGAAGACTTTCCGAAGCGCTTTAATGTTAACAAGGACTGGTTTTATCACTTCAAATCCCTTGCAGAAGTAGGAAGTGCTGGTGTTGAAGCTGCCCCCCCAAAAATTTAAGGATGGGCTAGACAAGATGGAAGAGGAGAAGGGAGAGAAACTTTTTACACTGAAAGAACTAACAGGAGCTTTTTTCTAGCCTAAATCAGGGACTTTAATTGCTTGAAAACACGGACCCAAGTGCTAATTGCCTTGGTAAGCTAGTAGGCAGGTTTAAGAAGCAGTGAGAGATTGTCCCAAAATATAGGAAGAAAAAGAGAAAATAACCATTCAGACAACTTGCACTAGTTTTCCGACTAGAAGCACGAGTGAAAAAGCTGAAGAGAGAACTTCAGAGGACCGCTCAAGAAAACCAATTACAGTGAAAGGTGCGAAGACCTGAAGGTAGAAAGGCGAAAGGAAGCACACATGTGTGTGCAGCGCAGCTCAAGCTGCGAGAAAACAAGTTCAAGCCTCCAGCTGTCCTCTGAAGCTTTGTGCGGGCAGTCTGGGATGACGTCAAGAGCAGAGACTGAGAGATGTTTACTGGTGTCTGATAGACGCTGGGTGGATCACCACCAACTACCGGGGACCTTGTGGAGACTGAGAATTCCAGAACACTTCATTGTAGTCACATGGAGCCTGTCCGCAGGCAAAGAGGCCGTCCTTCACAGGAGCAAGATTTAAAATAAGGAAAGGTAGACGTCCGGGTTCTACCTTGCACCCTACTTTTCCAACCTATATGATTTGAGAAGCTGGAAGGCTCGGAGGAGTACAGCGCATCCGGGTTGGAGACAGGCTCGTGGGCTGTCTGCAATCTGCCGATGACACAAACTTGCTTGTTGGTACCGGAAGTTGACTTGAAGCACTTGTCGACGAAGACCCAGGATTGCAGCCTTCGGTATGAAGGACAACGGAATGTCAAGAAAGCAGAAAATCCCCACATCATCCTGAATGGAGAAAAGATGGAAGTTGTCAGGGATTTCGTCTTGCTTGGATTCAGAGTCAGTGCTCATGAAGCAGCAGTCAAGTGATCAGAGGAGGCGCTGATGACAAGCAAGGAGGTAACGTTGAAGACGTAGGTGTGCTTTGACCCAAGCCATGGTATTTTCAGTCACCTCAAAGGCATCTGAAACCTGGACCATGAATAAGGAGGCGCACTGGAGAATCGAGGCACTTGCCAGGATAACAATGGATCGGTCCGGAGGAAGGACAGCTCGAACGGTCTTTAGAACCAAGAACGGCAAAGCTTTGTCTCCTGTACTTTGGACATCTTATCAGGAGGGACCTGTCCTTGGGAAAGGACATCATGTGTGGTCCAGCAGAGGGTCTGTGAAAAAGAGGAAGACCCTTGGCGAGTTCAGTCGACGCACTGCTTGTAGGAATAGGCTCAAACAGAACAATAGGCCCCTCTCTGTCCTCTGCCCTCTGCCCATCCTCCGCTCTCTGCTCGCTCCATTCTCCTCATCCTCTGCCCTCCCCAGCCCTCCCCCTCCCTCTGTCCTCCCCATTTCCCTTGCTCTTTCTGCTCTGTCTCCAAGGAACTTGAACTCAGCTGACCTAGGCCGGCAGACCATGCGTCACTACAGGGGCCTCACTGATTCTCTGGTGGCCTACGTCCAGAACTGCATGGTGGCCAGCCGCTCTGATGACAAATCTGAGGAGAATTGCGTGTGCACCCTGCACAACCTCTCCTACCACCTGGACTCGAAGATACCCACCCGCTACCACCAGGGGAGTACACCGCTCCCAATGCTTACAGGGAGAAGCCCTCCACTGGCCTCCTGAGCACCAAGAGTGTCCAGATGATGAACAACAGCTATGACTGCCCCCTTCCTGGGGAAGAGACCCACCGGAAGGGCAGCAGCTGGCTGAACCATCCGCACCTGCCTGAATCTCATGGGCAAGAGCAAGAAGGATGCCACCTTGCAGGCCTGCGCCCCGCAGAATCCGACTGCCAGCAAGGCTGATGTCCAGTGGCAGGAGTCAGATGACTGGGTTGACGGAGAAGGGCTTGCAGCAGGTTCTCCATCTCCTGCCGCCTGGAGCCGCCCTCCTGAGCAACATGTCCCGCCACCCGGAGCTGTACCGAGGGACGGGGAGCCAAGTGTTCCCAGAGGTGGCCAGGCTCCTCACCAGCCACACTGGGAACACCGAACAACTCTGAGGACATCCTGTCCTGGGCTTGCTACACCGTGAGGAACCTGGGCCTTCCAGCCTCAGATGGTCACGCAGCAGTGCCTCCTCCAAGACTGCAGAAGGTGCCCGACTCCTCCTCCTGACCCGGGTCAAGCAAGGCACTGCAGGCTGGCCAACCTGGCCCGGGCCAACAGCCTGAGGAACTTCACCTCCCCATTCTAAGAGCCACTGTCCCAGCACGGTCAGCTTGCCCTGCCCCACTGATGCAGCCCAGCTGAGAAACCCTGGGCCTCGCTGGCTGGAGGGCTCTGTCCACCCTGTGCACTATTTGGAGAAGTTCAAATGCCGTTGAGAGAAACCTGAACACTGTCGACGATGGGGATATCGTTAGATTCTTTTATGGTTTGTTTTTTCTCTTTGTGAGGGAACTGATAGGCATTGGGGGCTTTTTTAGTTAAAGGGGCTTATCTCTTATGTCAATACTTCTCTTTTTAAAAATACTTCTTTCTCTGAAAACAAACACATAATAATAGTTGGGAGGATGGTGCAGGAAGAGGCAGTGTCTTGGGCAGTTGTCCTAGGGGTTGCTAAGAGTTGGATGCAAATTGCCAGCAGCTCACAAGGACAAGAGGGACAGCAGCCCGCTCCCAGGGAAAATCCAGGTGATCCAAGTGAAGTTATTACCACAGCTGATAAAGGCCAACAATATCCAGCTCAACCTCCTTGTCAGAGGAAGTTTTTCTTACGTGGGCACTTTTAACGTATGTATGTATTAAAGCCTACCTGTTGTAAGTTTATATGTAATATTTCAACCCCCAAAGACACATGATAAGTGAATTGATAAAGACACTGATAATAAAAGTCCATAGTAATGAAAATTAAACAAAGAGAAAGATATCCAAATTATGTCCCAACCCAGTTAGAACAGGGTCGTCAGAATGGGACCTTGTCATAAATCAGGACAACCTCTGCTTATATTGTGGGTTAATAAAGGGTTATAGGCCTGCCTTCCAAATATACCCAAATATGTTAGCACAAGACCAAAAAACAGCCCCCAAGATTGGAACTATTATAAGTCTGCTTAAGTACAAATACAGTATTCATTGTTTTGTACGACATGCCAAATTAAGAAAAAGCTGGGAGCATACAGACCAACATGTTAACAGATCTGTGAGAAGCCGAATTGCCAAAAGCTGTGAGACAGATGCGTTCACAGCAGCAAAAGCAAACCACTCGCTGAGATCCCTCTTGGGATCTGAGTCCCTAATCAAACGGCGATCTAGGTCATGGTTGCTTGGGACGCTCAGTTCAGTGGCCTAACAACATGCTTAGTGCTGCTGTCCTGCCTCCTAATTCACTTTGCACTCTTTGGGATCTTAAAAACCTGAGAGTGGCCATCCAAGGCAT